AGCCTCTCTCACGGGGCAGGCACCTGGGCTAGGCCCGCAGGGTTATGGATAGAAGAGCTGAGGGCCTGAGCAGATGGTTTCTTCAGCCAATGGTCCTCATTCCCAAATCTCTTCTCGTCTCACAATAGGGGACCAGACAAAGGGGTGGAATTTGTCCCTGGCACAGGAGGGGAAGGAGGGAAGGCCCATCAATGTTTGCAGGCTCCTAGCCCCATGTGCAGCTAGAGTGAGGGGAGGTGGGCCTGGGAATTCCAGAGTCGGGAAGCCAGGCCATGGACCGGCCAATGGAGATGAGGATGACGCTCGTGTGGGCCTTTGCTCCTTCTTCCTCAGGCCCTTCTTGCTCCCCTGATGTTTAATGCCTTGTTCTTCAGGCTTTAAAGGATGGGCTGGGAGCCACGATGCTTGGAGGTGCTGGGTGGGTGGGGGACAGGAGTGGCTGCAGGATGTTTGTAGCTTCTACAGTAGCTGGGGTGTCTGGGTGTCCCATGAAGCTGCCACCAGCAGGTACAGGAGCTGCTGAGCCTGGCTGAGGATGCAGAGGAGACACTGAGAACAGGCCTCGCTGCCTGTGTGGGATAGCAGCTCAGTTACAGAGGCAGCTGTGGCTTGTCCAGAAAATGACGTCAGGGCAAGGGGGCTCCACAAAGACAGAACCGTATCATGAAAAATAAAAATTAAAAAAAATCTTAAAATAATAAAAGAGAGAGATTGGCATGGAAGGCAAGGAAAAGGCTGCCTTGCTTTTGTCCATAAGCCCCGCCCATCCTCTCTGCGTTTGGGTCTCGGGATACCTACCTGCCCAAGAATGGCATCAGACTCCACCAGCACCGTCACTGCAGACCGTGCGCTGACTCGGGGAGACCTTGTGGGTGACATGACTTGGTTCTGAAGACCTGGCTCCAAAAGGAAAAGGAACTAGGACTGCAGGCCAAGGGGCAGGACGTGCAAGGGCATACGCGAGCAGGTGTACATGGACAACTTGGGAGCTCAGTGGGACGGGAGCCGACAGGGGAAGCAAGAGGAGGGGAGAGGTGGAGGAGACAGAGATGGGATCCTTCCTGGAGCAGTCTGGCTACCTGAGCTCCGGGGACATTGCTTTAGCCCATGGAGCTTGGCAGGTGAGTGGTGGATTTCAGTTTCTCCAAGGCCCCTGCTGTGCCTGTGCCCAGCAGCCTGCAGGCTCTGCGGTGGAGAGGTGGAGATAGCGCCGTGGCCGACGGGGGTGCACACGGGAAGCAGGTCCCTGCCTTTGCTTGTGCTTCTCCGTTGCTCCTTCTCCTCCCCATCCCTCTGTGGTCACTTATGCCTAACTTTGCCATTGGAGACGTTGACTCACAAGATCTTTCTAGATTGCTCATCCCCCCCTCCCTTTTTTTTGTCTATTTATTTGAGAGACAGGGAGCTGGAGAAAGAGAGCTAGGGAGATAGAGCGTTCCCGTCCATTGATTTACTCTGCAAAATGCCTATAGCCACCAAAGCTGGACTGGCCCAAATCTGAGAACTGGGAATTCAGCCCACGTACTTGTCCCATGTAGATGGACCCAAGTATTTCAGCCATCATCTGCGGTCTCCCAGGGTATGGGTTAGCAGGAAGCTGCAGTTGAGAGCAGAGCCAGGACTCAAATCCAGGCAATGTGGTAAGGGATGTGGGCATCTTAAGGATTACCCAAACTCTCATAGAATACCCATATGAAAAATGTATTTATTTAACTTATTTGAGAGACACACACAGATACGCATACACAGAGAATGAGAGAAGGGGAGACGCAGCTAGGCAAAGAGGTCTCCACATGTTGGCTCAGTCTGCAAGGGCCAAGGCTGGGCCAGGCCGGAACCAGAGCCTGGAACTCAATCTGGATCTTGTGTGTGGGTTTCAGGAACACAAATACTTGAGCCAATATCTACTACCCGCCCCGACCCCATCACCCAAGAGTGCACTTCAGTGGGAAGTTGGGATTGCAGGTGGAGCTGGGACTCCCACCCAGGAACTCTGCCATGGGCAGCCTGTGCTTAACCACTGCACCCAGCGATTTCTGCAGCAGGCCTGCTGTGAAGTCCCCCTTTGCTGGCATCTTGGAGGTGGGTCATAACAGAGTATGGGTTTGGCAGGCTGACCCTCCTCAAGCCGGAGTAAGGCTTTCTCTTTGGCTGTAAGTCCCCCCTTGTGGTGAGGCTGCTTGCTACAGAATGCAGTTGGATTCCCACCTGCTCAGGGCCAAGAGCCAGGTGAGGGGTGTAGTTTTCTATAGCAGTGACAAAGGACCTGAGACTTTATAATGTCTGGGAGGTTTGTTTGGCTTGCAGGGGGGGAAGCCAGGAGTCTAAGATTAGGCAGCTGGGCTCTTGGGCTGTCATGAGGAAATCCCCTGGCTGCACATCAACATGGCAGTGGATGGCATTGTGGCGTGCTGGAGGGAGTGGGGAAGCCAGAGTAAGAGGACTTGGGGCTTGCTCTTTTATGACTACCTACTCCTAGGGGAACTCACCAGGCTCCCCTTGCCCTAGCCAGAGCTGAGGACCTGGCAGCTTAAAGCTCCTCCACTGCTCAGCATTGCCCAGTGGGCACTCAGCTTCCAGGGCAAGAGCCCTGGGTGAGTACAGAGGTTTTATCCAGAACCCAGCAGGTTCAGACTGACTCCTGCCCAGGCTGCTTCCTTGGCTTCTCGGGGAGCTCTCGGGGCCAGCGGCAGACCCCTCAGCCCCAGTGGGATTTGGGCTGGTAGTAGCAGGAGAACTTTACACCTTCTCCTGCCACCTATCATGGAAATCAGCTCTGCAGGGCACCTTACCATCTGGGGGGCTGGCCTAGACCCTCTTGGGAAGCTTCCCGAACCTTCCAGAAGCAAGTGGAGCCTGGAGGGATCCATCTGGATCAAACTTCCCCCCTGCCTTTTTTTTTTTTTCAATGAGGAGCAGCCACTTGAGGCTGCCGGTTTAGCTCCCAGGGACAGGACCATTCACTCTGTCAACAGGTCCTTCAGCCCAGCCCCCTGCCGCAGCCTTGCCCACATTCACTCATGTCAAAAGATGACGCATGTGACAGTGCGGATTCATTTGGGCCGTCACCTAGCAACGGCCTGATGGCTGCCCTGGCTGCCTGAGCTGGGCTGGGAGCACAAAGGCAGCTTTTCAGGCCCGGCCTTCTTCCACCCCCGCACACAGGACTGCGGTGGGGCTGGGGGGCCTCTACCTCTGCCGTGGAAGGGAGAGGAAGTGCAGGGCAGCAACAAAGTGGGCTCGCTGGGTGACAGGGTGCCTTCTCAGAGCCCTGTGCGGGAGGGGACATTCCCAAGTTCAGCCCCAGCCTCTGGGCCACTTGGCATTGCTAGTGTAATGGGCGTTTGTGTAGGATTCTGGGGCTGACAGCTATGGAGCGAGGCCCTCGTGTGTGTGTGTGTGTGTGTGTGTGTGTGTGTGTGTCTCCTCCCTCTAAGAGGACAGCAGCCAGCCCTCCCAGGATGGGGGTTCTGCCAGAAGTTCTGTCCTCACCCTTGACAGTGAAGAAGTGCTTCTTTATGTCTCCAGTTAGCTTTGCCTGTAACTTGGGAACATTCCTTTCTGTAAAATATATATGTTTTTCATTATAAAGTAATATGACTACATTACGAAAAGCAGATATGGGGGAAAGAGTAACTCATCCATAATCCCGCGACCCTAAGCGGAGCGCTGTCAGCATTTGGTACATTTCCGCCGTCTGTGTTCTTGCAGCGCATCTGCTTTCTCCATGCTACACTCGGGGCATGCGTACAAGCCTGCGTCTTGCTCTTTCACTTCATATTTTCCTTAAAGTTATAGCATAAGCACTTTTTCATATTCACCACGTAGACTTATTTTTAATGGCTATACATTATAACCAGAGACTAGGCCATTTCCTCTCATTGGGCCCAGTTGGTCTGCGAGAGCGGGCTGAGGGTTTTGTTTGCCAGCGGAAGGCTCACCAGAATCTTATGTTTTTTTTTTTTTTTAATTTTTTCTTTCTTTCCTCCTCCAGGGACCAAGTTTTTAGGATTAATGTCAGAAATGGAGACGAGATCAGCAAATTGAGTTGGCTGGTGAATTCAGACAACTTTAAGGTACCTGGCGTTTCCTTGTCATCTCAAGTAATTTCTGCCGCGGGTGGGAGGAGACCCTTGCACCATGCAGTTGTTATTTTTATTTTTAAAGATCTTTTCTGTGTGAGGGCACATCCACGAGTTCACACACAGTGCTGTATTAAAAACCATGGCCGGACTTCAGAAGGTCCTTTCTAAGCCCAAGCAAACGTTCCTCTTCCCTTGTATTTCTTTTCTTTTTTTTTTTTTTAAAGATTTGTTCGAAAGGCAGAGCAGCAGAGAGAGAGACAGGGAAAGAGAGAAAGAGAGAGAAAGAGAGAGAAAGAGAGAGAAAGAGAGAGAGAGAAAGAGAGATCTTCCGTCCACTGGCTTACTGCCCAGATGGCCATGAGGCTGAAGTCCGTCTGGGTCTCCCAGCGGGCGGCACAGGCCCAAGGACTTGATGGTTGTCTGGTGCCTTTGCAGGAACATGAGCAGGAGGCTGGGCGGGAAGTAGAACAGCTTGGACTGAAACTGCTGCTCCAATATGGTATCTGACGTCATCGTCAAGCGGCAGCTTAGTGCACTGTGCCATCATGCCGGCCGCACAGTTGTGATTCCATCTTCTCACCAGCTCTTTGGAGTCTCCTGGCACATGCTGTGCCAGTCAGCATGCTGCCGGCACACGTGCGTGTGGGTGGGCAGAAGCGGCGCCTGAGCTCATGCCATGTGGGTCTGGGCAGCAGGCTCTGCCCTTCCAGCTGCCATTGGGTTCCTACTTTTTGGACTCAGCCTGGTGCTGCCGGCCCAGCGGGCCTGACCAGATGCAGTGGTGAAATGGCCCATGCTGCCCTTGTGTGGAACCTGGCCCCTTGAAGGTCCCTGGCTTTTGGGGGTAGTTCTCAAAGAGTGGGCCCTTGCACCTCTCATCTGAGCTGTCTTTAACCCGCTTCACTTTCTATCCCCTCTCAGCTCGATGTCTGGAGATCTCCCTCGACCTTTGGCCGGCCAGTGGATGTCTTGGTCCCGTCTGTCAGCTTGCAGCCAGTCAGGTCCTTCCTGGTGTCCCAGGGTTTCGAGTACTCAGTGACAATTGAAGACCTACAGGTGCGTGGGCTCTGGGACTCCTTGCTGGTCTGGCCCAAGCTTTAGGTTTAGAGTGGGCCCATTTCACAGATGGAAGGAAAGTCCAGGAGTTTTCTAAGGAGACACATGGTGATGGTGAAAGGGCACACCTTGTTTAGGGAACACTACACATCTGCATCCAAGGCCCCCTCCAGCCCTCCACTCTGCTCACCACCAGCACTGTGCCTTCAAATGAGCTGTTAACCTACTGTGTCTCCATGTAACCATCAGTGGTGTGGTGATTAATAGTGGTACCTACCTCATTGAGAAGATGCCACGATTAGATGCATACAAAAGTCCCCACAGTGCCTAGGGCCTCACAAACTGCTGAGTGAAAAAATGCCTCTTTCTTGTTATTTACCTTTTAGTTTTTCAAAATCAGAAGGCAAGAGCAGAGTGGGGGTGGGTTCTGGAGACCAATCTAGGAAGCCCCCCTGGGTGAAGAGCAGGGGTGTCAGCAACAGTCCCGCCGGGCGGCAGGTACATGGCCCCGCAGCCTCACAAGCTGGCCTGAATGGCAGGCCCGTGTAGCTGCCTCCCTCGTGTGCCGAGGTGGGTTAGGGACTGATTGGAGATCTGGCCTGGCGTCTCCTGATGGCGTGAGCAGCTGCGAGCTGGTTAATCATCCCCACATGTCCCAGACATGTGCCAGGAACCTTCAAAGCAGGAGTGGTTGTGAGCATTTCTTTGTTTCAGAATGGTCTCCCAAGCTGTGTGCTGTGGATGCCCTGGCTACCAGATGTGGGCTGACGTCTGAGGGGGTCCCACTGCAGAATAACCAAATAGCAAAAGGGGGCTTCTGGGGAATGCTTTTAAATGGGGCATAGAAACTGAGCAGCAAGGAGTACAATGTCACAGCTAGAGGAAGGAGCCCAAGCCCCACCCTTGGGAACCTGGGCTTCGGTGCCTCTAGACGAGCCCGAGGGCATGGCCGTGTCGGCTGGCATAGCACAAGGAAACGTGGGTCACGGAACAGAGCGGCCGTGTGGGGCGTGTATTTTCAGGCCCTTTTGGATGACGAAGATGAAGAAATGCAACACAATGAAGGACAGGAGCGGAACGGCAGTCACTTCAACTACGGGGCTTACCACTCTCTGGAAGCCGTAAGTGCCTAGGTGCAGGTGGAGGGCAAGGTTCTCCATCCCTGCAGGCTGCTCCACCCCTCTCCGTGTTTCCAGGGGGTGTCACCAGTGTCTAGTGCGGAAGCACCTCCCCGAGGGCTTACAGGGGACAGGTTCACTCCTTTCCATCTTGCATGAACTCCCACCAGCCCCCTCAGAGCCCGAGCAAACCGGGCCAGACCTGCTGTCTCCCACCCACACAGCCGCCTGTGCTCAGGCAACCCCTCCGGGGAAGCTGTGACGTAACCCTCATCATTTCCAGGCCTTGTAATTCAGCCTTCTTCTAGCCTACCTTAATCCCTCACCCAGAATAAAGTGTTACTTGTTGCAGCAAGTAGACAGGTGGTTCTATTTGCAAGGTTAACCATGTCGTTCCACTTAGTTACCCTGGTTACTGCTAACGAACTTGTGCCATGCTGCTGCTTGGTCCCGCGCTGCAGCCAGTGGCATCCATCTGCAGAACAGCTGCGTGAAATTAGGAGTTGAGGCTCAGGCCGTGGACGACAGCAGGGCTGGGGGGCCACACTGATCCAAACTGCGATGTAAATGGGGTGTGGGCCCCCTGCTTTGCAGACCGAGCTTGTGCCCAGCTGGCTGCTGGACCTTTGGTCTCTCGTTCTCCCACCTGACTGGCCCTGGGCTTGGCTGTCCTTTGGGACGGGGTCACAGCCCCCTCTTTCCCGGGAGGCCTCTGGCTGCAGTGTGCCATCTCTCTCACTGTGTGCACCGCATGTTCCCTTTTCTGGAAGCAGCTTGAAGAGTTTGCGGCCTGCAGCCCCCTCTCGTGAGAATTCCACGTTGGGCTCAGCCAGGGTTTTTGTGACTAGTTCCGTGGTGTGGTGTGCCCCTCTCGGTTTCTCTAGCTCCAAGGTAGTTGGCAGTGTGGAGCTGGACCCCCTGCACCTGCAGCCAGCGTGCTGGTCTGCCTTTCCTGGGGCAATGCTTTGCTCTTGTGACTCAGGCCAGCCACTCTGCTGCTCCTGCTCTCGCCAGGGCCCAGTGGGGAGTTTCCAAGTCCCCCCACCCCTTTGAGGCCAGAACTGCCAGTTCCCAGCCCCTTGCAGCACACCGGGTCCTGCGCCTGGTACTCCTCTCCCCAGTTGGATTCTGTCCTGAGAGGCCCATGCACAGCTCTGTGGCTGGGTCCCGCCTGCCCGACTCTGCCGCAGCTCCGCCTCTGCAACCCACACCCACTCCCCCTGAGCTCTCAGGCTTGGCTGGGAAATGTTTTGATTGTGTGTTCGCTACTGGCCTGTGTGGGGCCGGGGGTGGGGATGGCTTCCTGCCTCTGCGGGCTGCATTCCTTCTTCCTGTGTTAAGGACGAATGTAGAAGCTTTAGCAACAACAGTGGATGCTTAAATCTTTGTTTTTTCTGTTTCTCCCTCTTTTCCCCCCCAAGACAAATGGGAATGGTCTTTATAGTTCTTTAGTTGTTTTCACAAAGCCTTTAGAGATGCCATCTCTACAGGGGGTGCCTGTGTCTTAGGGCGTAGGCAGTATGACCTACTAGGAGGAAGAAGCTCTTACACCTTTTATTTTTACTCTGCCTGTATTATATTATTAATGTAACCTTTTTTTTCTGTTTCATAAGATTCATAATACATTTGCATGATTACCTATTAGCATATACCTGAGGTTATCTAAAATTTCGTGAAAAAATGGAATTGAAAGTTAAATTAATGTTGATGCAAAATTTTTGAAATTGATGCAAACAGAAGCATTTTCAAAAAGTTCATCGGTAATACATATTATTATTTTTTTAAGACTTTTTATTTATTTATTGGAAAGTCAGATATACAGAGGAGGAGAGACAGAGAGGAAGATCTTCCGTCCGATGATTCACTCCCCAAGTGAGCGCAACAGCCAGTGCTATGCCGATCCGAAGCCAGGATCCAGGAACTTCCTCAGGGTATCCCACGTGAGTGCAGGGTCCCAAAGCTTTGGGCCGTCCTCCACTGCTTTCCCGGGCCACAAGCAGGGAGCTGGATGGGAAGTGGAGCTGCCGGGATTAGAACCAGCGCCCATATGGGATCCCGGTGCGTTCAAGGCGAAGTCTTTAGCCGCTAGGCCACGCCGCCGGGCCCAGGTAATACATATTATTTAAAAGATGCATGTAGATTTCAAAATTTCTTGGCAACAAAACAAATTTATAAAATTAAAAAGGTAAATCCGTTTTTCATGAAGTTTTTTTACATATAGTCCAAATGAATTATTTTTTGGTGGGGATTTACTACTATACGCACAACTGCCTTTTAAATAAATAAAAGTTTAAAAATTTAAAAATGGTCACAGAAGTTTGAAGAGTCACCCTTGGCAGGGTCGGCAGGGTGAGCACTGGCCCCGTAGTTAGGACACGGCACAGCAGAGTGCCAGGCTGGGAGCAGCAGGTGCAGCGGCTGGCGGGTTCCTGCTTCTCTCGCTGGCGACCTGGAAGGCGTTTCTAGCTCTCAGCCTGGCCTGGCCCTGGCAGTGGGCGCCTTTGGAGAGTGACCAAGTGAATGGAGATCTCTTTCTCTCTCTACTACTCTCTCTGTTCTTTTAAATAAATAAAATTAAACTAAAAAAGATCCTTGATTGAGTGGAGATGTTGCTGACCATTCGGTCTGATGCAAAAGCCTAAGTGTTGAGTCAGTGTCCGTGGGAGTCTCTCAAGTCTGTGGACAAATAAAACATGCCATACCCTAGGTAGCTATAGAAAAATACTGCCCAGGCGGTTTCTTGTTGTCAGCATTCCCGGCTGCTAACACAGTCAACCCTAAGGCTGCGAGCCTAGACGAGACCATCAGGGCAGACAGAATCGACAGACACCCGCCCGGAGCTGGACACATTTTAGAAATGTCTCTGGCTGCCCTCTTTCGTTTTGCAGATTTACCACGAGATGGACAACATTGCCTCCGACTTTCCTGACCTGGTGAGCAGGGTGCAGATTGGATGTTCGTTTGAGCGCCGGCCCATGTACGTCCTGAAGGTGAGGTGCCGACAGGGTGCAGATTCCACCTGGAGAGTGCCAGACACGCTGCTGTCTAAACCCTTTAGGTTTCGGAGAAGAGAGCGAGGTCGGAGCGCATCTCACCTGGGGTGACTCTAGTCTGGTTGAGTCCCTTGCTGTTGTCTAACATGGGCGAATTTGAAAGAGCACATCATTTTGACTGTGAGACAGGATCAGAGGGGAAGCAGGTGGCACTTCCGGAGAGTTCTCAAAGAAGACAGAGTATGGTCTCTGTCACCACCTTGTATAAACAGCAAGGCTAGCAGGGGTATATGCATGCAAGTCCATTTTGCTTTTAGGGGAAGCAGCCCAGGGAGCTGAGGTTCAAATTGATGTCATTCTATGCCTAGCCTTGGATGCTTGGCTACGTGAAGCCTAATTTCCAGATATTTCTAAGATTCAGACCCTTGGCCAGAGAGGTAGACAGTGACAACAGTGACGTAAATAATCCAGCAGATGAGCAAAAAGGAATTTGGTCTTATGAGCCACGGAGCCACTGATGGTGCTAGAAATTTGCCAGGCCCTTAGCTCTAGCTAAGCTCCAGTGAACCCAGGGTTTATAATGATGGGCAACTGCCTGGCAGCAGGGGAGGGCTGGCACTGAGCTGGTTGCTCAGAAATAATTACATTTCGCTGACTTGCCCATCTGATGGAGACCCTGGCTTCATTAGTACCAAGCTTGGACCCAAGGGGCCCTAAATGCAGTAGCCAGAATTCATTACTGCCGCTTACACAGAGTTAGAGTGGACCCCCCTTTTTCCCTAATTTAAAACCCAGTCCTTTATTGTGGCGGTTAGATCAGCCTGGCTCACGTACCCTGGCATCTCTCTCTGTCTCTGTTGGGATACCATTTGGGGTCTTTCAAGAGATGCACTCTAATCCACAATGACAATGATCTCTCCTGCCCATTTGCTGGAGAGGCTGAGACTCGGCTGCTGAACCTGCAGCCAACCAATTAAGCTCCCCGGTCACGGATCAGCCTGAGAAATAGATGGGGCCCTTAGGAACATTTGGTCTCTGAATTGTCTTAAATGAATTAAATGAAGAGGAGCTAGCTAGGGAAGAGGTGGGGTGAGTGTGAGGTGGGCAGGCAGGTCACCTGGGGCCTCTTGTTCCCTTCTGCAGTTCAGTACCGGAGGAGAGCAGCAGCGGCCAGCCGTTTGGCTGAACGCAGGCATCCATTCCCGCGAGTGGGTCTCGCAGGCCACTGCCATCTGGACGGCAAGGAAGGTCAGGTTGCCCGGTGTTAGCCAAGATGGGGCGGGAATGGGCAGGGGCTCTCGGCAGGTCCCACGAGGCTGAGTGCCAACGGGAGGTGGGTGAGGACTCTGCACAGACTCCACTGGCCAGGGTCTCTGCAGGCCGGATTAGCAAATGGCCAGAAGCCTTTGGCCGGCCCGCCGAGGCTGAGTGACGGGGTGTGTTCGTGGAGGTCGAGGCAGTCGTGGGCCTGACCCGAAGAACAGGAACACTGAAAAGCAGCAGCCGACTCCATCGGCTTTCCCTGCTCGGGCTCCGGGACCTCCTGTGTCTCCAGAGCCTTCTGGAAAGTCTGTCTGAAGCTAGCGCTGGAAGAGGAGGGGTGATGCCTGGGGGAGACACACTTTCTTAAAATCTGTGACTCCCTGACGAGCCCATTGTCTCTGCTCAGATTGTCTCTGACTACCAGAAGGATCCTGCCCTCGGTGCCATCCTGGAGAAAATGGACATCTTCTTGTTGCCTGTGGCCAATCCGGACGGCTATGTGTACACACAGACTCGTGTGAGTGAGCCCGGGTGGGCTGGCCTGGGGCGAGGCTTTGCTTAGGGACTATGCAACTTGCAGGGAGTTCTCACACTGGATGCACTGTGAGCTCCCCCGGGAGCGTGCGCTGTGGTCCTGTTGAGGACTGAGCCGCGCTAAGGAGCTCTTGTTCGTGGAAAGATGCATGTCGAGGAGCTCCTGGCTCTGGGTCCTGAACAGCTCCCGGCACCTCCCGCTCCCACGTTATTTTAAAACAAATCCCAGATGTTGTGCCCTTTTACCTGGAGCTGCCGTGGTGTGCATCTCTAGCCGATGGTTAAAACAAAACATAAGTCCCAAACACTACACCACTATTTCCTTAAAAAAGTTACTAGTTCTTTAACATCATCAAACACTCTCGCTTGCCTTCAAATGTCTCTTAGTCAGTTGGCTGCAGTCAGGATCCCACGAGGCCTGCACACCACATACACATCTAGCTGCCCTGCTGTTCAGCCCAGCTCCACCTGCCGCTGATGAGTGTGACTCCTTCCTGGAGGAAGCGAGAGATTTCCTGTATGAAGTCGCACATTCCTACCCTGGCTGGTGATTGGTTGTTGGGTTGGATTTGATCCCTGCCCCCATGTTCGCTGTTCGCTGGTGGTTGGATCCAGGGCTCAGTTGCCTTCAGGTGACTTTTAGATGCAGAGAAAACGCTCAGAGATGCTGTGCACTTGGGCTGCACTGGTGATCCTGTCGCTGGTGGCGCGGAGGGCTAGGTGGCATCAGCCTGGCTCTCGCATAGGAAGTTCTCACAAGTTCCTGCCTGAGAGGCGAGAAGGGATCACGGGGCCCCATCCTCTGTGTCAGCTCATATTCACCCCCTGCACCCTGACCTGCCTTGGGTGTTTCTTCCCATGGTGGCTTTTTATAGAACCGGATGTGGAGGAAGACACGGTCCCTCAATCCTGGAAGCCTCTGTGTTGGTACAGATCCCAACAGGAACTGGAACGCCAGTTTTGCGGGTAGGTGGGGAGATAGTTCTCCAGCTCTGTGAGCGCACGTTGAGCGTCTGCCATCTGTGCTGCAAGCTGGACGTCAGAGGGCGGCTGTGCGCCGGCTGCGTGGCTGCCCCACTGGGAAATGCGGCATCCCTAACAATTCTGTTTTTAGTAAATAGATCTTAATAATTAAAATTTTACGAATTTTTACTTTAAAAGGCAAAACACAGGTATAGATAGATAGATGATAGATTGTTCTATGATAAATAATAACAAATCTCCCATCTGCTGTTTACTGTGCAAATAGACCCACAACAGACAGGACCAGGCCAGGCTGAAGCAGGAGCCTGGAATTCCAGCTGGGCTGCCCCACACTGCATGGCAGGGACCTGAGTGCCTGAGCCAGCCCCTGTTGCTTCTCAGGGTGCCCAGTGGCAGGCAGCTGGAATCAGACACGGAGGAGCTGGAACCTGAGCCCAGGCAGTCTGAGATGAGCTGCACGTGTCCACTGCTTCCCGGATGTGCATCGCTGGGGCGCTAATTGGGAAAGAAAATGTGGTTCAGTTGCTCCTGTCCTGAGCGCGTGCACCATGGCCGCCCCATCCTGTGATTACAGTCTACCGTGGCGGTTGCTTTCTGTTTATTTTTATCTGAAAGGCAGATTTACAGAAGGAAAAACACACACACAGAAGGGGAAAAAGAGGGAAAAGCAGAGGGGAAGAGAGAGACGCACACACAGAGAAATCTTCCACTACTGGAAAAGCTGAGCTGCTCCATGACCAGGAACCAGGAGCTTCCGCCAGGTCCCCCACATGGGTGCAGGGGCTGCTGCTTTCCCAGGCCATTAGCAGGGAGCTAGTTGAGAGCAGAGCAGCTGGGGGCACAAACCAGTGCCCATAAGGGATGCTGGCACTAGCAGTTGGAGGATTAGTCAGTTGAGCCACTGCACTAGCCCCTATACCAATACCCTATACCTATACCAATGTTTTTTTAAAACCAGTCTCCCCTTAGATGTGGTCCTTATCTTTGACTGTCCCAGTGTCACCTGGGCAAGTTTTGGGCAGGCTGAAGAGCCCCTAGTGACAGCTCTTAAGAGAACAAGCTCTGTGTAACCCCAACAGGCAAGATGATCTGGTAAAACTTACACTCCCCTGACATGTCAGGATGAACTTTAAGAGCTCATGGTCGGGCCCGGCGCAGTGGCGCAGTGGTTAAGGTCCTTGCCTTGCACGCCCGGGATCCCAAATGGGCACCGGTTCTAATCCCGGTGGCCCCGCTTCCCATCCAGCTCCCTGCCTGTGGCCCGGGAAAGCAGTGGAGGACGGCCCAAAGCTTTGGGACCCTGTACCCGTGTGGGATACCCGGAGGAAGTTCCTGGATCCTGACTTCGGATTGGCATAGCATCAGGCGTTTCGCTCACTTGGGGCGTGAATCATTGGATGGAAGATCTTCCTCTCTGTCTCTCCTCTCTGTATATCCGCCTTTCCAATAAAAATAAAATAAATCTTTTAAAAAAAAAAAAGAGCTCATGGTCATGGAAAGAGGATTGGCCCTGAGTTCATGTGTCTGAACGTCACCCCTGACAGACGTGTCGGCTGGCTGCAAGGATTTGCCACGTGTCTTATGCTTCTTACCGAGTGAATGTCATCATCTGAAAGGAGACAGCTGATTCTCAGACTAAGTCAGGAGCCCGTGACTGGTTAGACGCAGGGCCTGCATTCCCTCCCAGTCCCAGAGCAGGCGGCGCCCGCGTCTTGTTCTGAGCACATGTCCTTCACTTAGAGAGATTAGTGATCCTGGAAAAGAAAGGGGCTGAGACAGACGTGGGAGGCTGTCAGAGTAAGGCCAGAGGTCCCCGTTGCTGGGGTGCTTCCTCCCACACGCCACAGCCTCACTCCTCCAGTAGCTATTCTGTGAAGTAACGCAGCAAGTAATATTTCTACATATCTGTCAAATCAAGAGACGTGGCCCCAACAATAGATTATTTTTGGCAGCAGTTGGTCATTAAAATCTAAATTCAGAGACTAAGTTGACACCAGAGTAAGTGGAATTGTTCTCATTATTTATTGATATCCGTATTAATTACCCAGAATACTTATTACCACTCAATCTTAACCATGATATTAATCATTTATGCCAACTGCTCTTGGTACAATATGAGGTCGACTCCATCCACTTCGAGGATGTGGAATGGTTACCATGGCTAATCCGGCCCCAGGATTTTCCCCTTGGGCCCTTCCCCCCAGTCCACACAAGTCCCCAGCCAAGTCCCTAGGGGCATCCAGCAGTGGCCTGCCTATGGCCAGTCCCTCCAGTCCCCGTCTGGGCCACGTGTCCTGCCTTTTCTGTTTCCTTGGCCTATGGGTTAACGCTTCTTTGTACCTTGTACCTACCTGCCTTCTCTCCTCCCAGGACAGGGAACTAGTGCCAACCCTTGCTCTGAAGTATACCACGGCCCTCACGCCAACTCGGAAGTGGAGGTGAAATCAGTGGTAGATTTCATTCAGAATCATGGGAATTTCAAATGTTTCATCGACCTGCATAGCTACTCCCAGCTACTGATGTACCCATACGGATATACGATCACGAAGGCCCCAGATGCGGAAGAACTGGTGAGTGAGGTTGCTTTCTGCCCAACCCGAGGCTTGCTGGCCCTCGGGCAGTGCCAGGCGGGCTGTTCTGCAGTGTTGGAGGGGAAGCAGGGCACCTGGGCGTGCTTCCTTAAGGGCCGAGTCTTCTCTCCTTGCCCCTTGGGATGCGCCAGCCGACTTGCTGGGACTCTCTTTCTCCTACTTGTTTCTCTGATGGAAACCACTTGTAGACCAGCAATTTGTACCTGGTGCCAAGGTGTGCAGGGGCAGGCCTTCCTGGTCAAGGTCAACTTGAAAGAGGGTGGAGGCCACAGCTTAGGGGTGATCTGTCATGCCCAGAGACTCACCCCAGACTGTGCAGGTGTGGGCAATTGCTGCTTGTGGGGGACTGCCGGAGTGCACCCCCCTGCGGCTCTGTCTGCCCCTCTACTCCAGGAACCCACGCTCTTCCCTCGTGTTCCTGAACATGGCCTCGCCTTGCCTCGGGATGGATAAAGGTGCCGGTGCCTTGGGCAGACCCCTAAGGGTTGGTGAGCCCCTCTTAGTGTATGTGAGGGTCTAACACACATGCTCTTAGAGTTCTGTCTTCCTCTTTGCACATTCCTTTCTGTCTCACACGAGAAGCAAAAACCTTGGGATGCGGCAGGAGGCAGTCGGATGACCCGTGACTGAGTCAGGCTTCCACTCCGAGGAGGCAGAGCTGGAGATGCCACAGGAGAGGATCAGGGAAGGAGAATCTTCTGAATCGTCAAGAGCCGGGAAAGGGATGGCTTCGAGTCCCATGCCTTCTCCCTCTGCTCACTCTGCCAGGACGAGGTGGCGAGGCGTGCAGCCAAGGCTCTGGCTTCCCTGTCGGGCACTGAGTACCAAGTGGGCCCCACCTGCACCACTGTCTGTGAGTACTTTCTGTGTTTGTGGGTTACTTAGTGCTTTGGGAGGAACTTGGAAATGGAAGATAAGCAAGATAAGCCTTGCTACATGGCTGCCTGCTCGGTCACGTGGAGCCTGTGTGATAACAGCTGGTATGGCCAGCATCTCTGCTGGCGTCACTACTTCTCTTATGCTACTCAGCATGAGTGCAGATGGGTGAAGCCCCAGCAGCAGGCTAGACTCTGCGTTCCCTAACTTATACTAAAGTCTCAGACACAGTTTATTAAAGATTTATGCAGCTCATCATCCCAGCTTCAATGGAAACTCACTCTGGAACTGGCAAAAAGAGGGTGGTCCTGATGGTTGTGGTGGTGGTGGTGTGTGAGAGGACTAAGTAAGTCCCAGAGTGTGAGGAGCTGGTTTAAGAGTCTTAGCAGCAGGGTGCCTGTAGCCAGACAATGCAATCAAGTCCTTGGGTCCAAGATCCACTACCTTGTTTTAAGGAAAAGCCTGTGCTGGTCTCCAGTGCTGTGTGACACCTGAGCAATTCTCTCTGTTCCTGCGACACCCTGCCATCCTCTCCATCCTCGTATTCTGAGTCGGTCTTTATTTCTCTTGGGGGTGGGAGGAAATGTCCTGTTTCCAAGGCCCTGGCTGCAGTGGGAAACAAGCAGGGAAGGCACAGCTGTGCTTGCTCTGGAAGCAGTGCTGGCCTGGTCAGCCTGCTGCTTTCCCGGAAAGCACAGGGTCCCCACTCAGACCCTGCATTCCTGCTCGTCAGCCCCTTTTCTCAATTCTGCCTCTCAGCTCCCTTCCCAGCTGGTACCTGCTCTGTTGGGCCCGGTGCTCCTGACCCAGCTCGGGTCCACCGGGTCCACCACCCAGTCTCCATTCACAGCCACTGCAGATGGCAGTTAGTTGGAGACTTGGCGTTTGTGTTGCTAATTGCAGCACGGAGTCATTCATTATTCATAGTGTAGTGTTATTAGTGTTGTTAAATGGAAACTCCTCAGAGAGCCCAGCAGGAGACTTAGTCCACCCTCTGTTTAATTAGCCACAACTGAGTCGGGGACCAAGGAGCATGAAAGGCCCCCTTCGGCGGAGGTCCTCTCCAAGGATCTTTGTGGGTCACCAGTGTCCTGGGCTTGTGGGTGAAATACCAGTGTTAATAATGGCCTTGTCCCCCACATCAGACACGTTCTTCTGCCCAGCCTAAGCTGTTCTAACACCACAGTCCTCATCAGATTGCCCCCGCGGACTGGGGCAAGGCCCCCCGAGGGTCATGCAAGAGACAGGCAGTTCCTTACCCTTTTCTCGAGCCCGTCTCTGTCTTAGGCCATCTGCCCTCCATGCTTTCCAGACAAGCCACCGCTCTTTGACGTTCCACGTGGGCTCCTGCGCCGTGGCCTGGGCTGCGAAAGCAGCTGATGTTCTTCCTTGCGAGTGTCGGCCTTATCCTTAGATTCGCCATTTTAGATGAAAATCATCCTGATAAAGTGGATTTCACACTTCCCTGCCTTTTTATGAGAGCGTGAGGGAAAGATCTTGACTGTGTGGTTTCCTGGTCCCAGGCAGCACGGTCCTGGGGCCAGCAGCCTCAGCCTGTCCTGTCTGCTCCCCAGTGCCTGGCCAGCTCCCCCCGTCACACACAGGTGGCTGCTCACTGCTTGCAGGCCGAGGCGTCTAGCCACCCTCTCCGCTCCACTGATTCGGATCTCTAAGGGCTCGCACACTAAGACCTTGTGGAAGGTGCATTTGGCCCACAGATAAATCAGGATAGTATATTCACAGTCACAAGAGACTGGTCAGCACCTAAAGTGGCTCCCAGGATGGTGCTGGGCAATGCACGTGTGGCTCATTCATGCAGCGGACCATGAGGCAGCCTGTAAGTGAACGTGCTGAAGGTATTTGTGGTAATAGAGAATACTCTTTAGTGACTAAAAAGAAAAGGAAGTTGGAGGCAGGAGCTGGCGCTGGGAATTGTGTTGCTAATTGTGTGCTCCAAAGCAGCACATCTTGACCACTGGCCTCTGAGCCTCTGCTGGCCTCCGAGCCTCTGCTGGCCTCTGAGCCTCCGCTGGCCTCTGAGCCTCCGCTGGCCTCCGAGCCTCCGCTGGCCTCTCAGCCTCCGCTGGCCTCCGAGCCTCCGCTGGCCTCTGAGCCTCCGCTGGCCTCCGAGCCGCCGCTGGCCTCCGAGCCTCCGCTGACCTCTGAGCCTCCACTGGCCTCTGAGCCACTGCAGCTCTGCCGTTTTCCACCCGTGTCTGTGCCAATGAGCTCCCTGTCTGAGCCTGATGGGCTCACCTTAAAACAAGGACAAGAATCCTGCTCACTAAGCTTGTGACACTGCGAGTGTAATGATGGCTCGTGGTAGTGTCTGAAGAAAGAGCTGTTATTAATGTCATTGTTTTATTGTGAAAAAGCATCTGCATTTCACACTGTTAGCCATATCTGCCCCGCCCTAGGAAGGAACAGAAAGACAGTTCTGTTACCTTCCTGAAGCCTTCAGGCAAGGGCAAGTCCCAAGGACAGCTTCCTTCTAACTTTGTATCTGTCAACTCTTGCCATGTTCAAAGCCTTTCAAGTGTAGCAGCTTAAGATCAGCAGTGACCTTGTGCTTTCCTGATGGGCTTGTGGCTTGGTTGGTGGCTCTGGCTCAGTGAGCCCCAGTCAGGACGTTCCCCAGGGATGGGCAGCCAAATGTTCCCCTGGGCTGCAGCATCTGCTCCCAGGGCAGGGGCCTGGCAGAGCTTTCCTGGCAGACTGGCTTGGGGACTCACCTTGAACTCCTGCAGAGAGTCTGAGTGTTTGTGATGGCTATCCAGACCACGTGATCTGAGAGGCCAGTGTCTATTTTTATTTTTTTTTTTCATTTGAAAGGCAGGATTGCAGAGTGAGAAGGAAAGAGACACACAGAGAGAAAGATCTTTCTTCTGCTGGTTCACTCCCAAAATGGCCACAACAGCCAGAGCTGGTCATTTCAAGTTAGGAGTTAAGAGCTTCTTCTGGGTCTTCCATGTGGGTGAAGGGGTCCAAGAACTTAGCCAACCTATGATGGAAGTGGAACAGCTGAGACACAACCTGGCACCTGTATGTGATGTCAGTGCTGCAGGTAGAGGCTTAGCCTACAGTGCCATGACACTGGCCCCCCACACTAGTGTCTTTTATGGCTTAAATCTGAGAGTCTTACAGACTTCACATCTGTACTAACCCACCAGTTACAGGGTGATGGGAGAGTGTAGCGTCCTGAAGACCGGGACCCCTGGCTCTATCCCGGAGGCTGGCTGTCTACTTTGTCTGTAAAGACTGGGTTGGGTCATCATCAGGAGGGACAGAGTGAGTGAGTGACCAGAAGGGGTAAGCACAGTCATCCCTTGGCAGCCCCAGGCCAGTGTCAACGTGTCAGAGTCACTGAACTTTGGATGTCTAAGAAACCTCAGGCGGACCAGACTGTCTGCCCACTCGCCCCTGACCCCGATGGGCCTAGGCTTCAAGGGGTATGCCCTTCTGATTTACAGACCCAGCTAGCGGCAGCAGCATCGACTGGGCGTACGATAATGGCATCAAGTACGCCTTCACATTTGAGCTGAGAGATACCGGGCACTACGGCTTCCTGCTGCCAGCCAATCAGATTATCCCCACCGCCGAGGAGACCTGGCTGGGGCTGAGGAGCATCATGGCGCATGTACGGGACCACCTCTACTAAGCGAGGACATTTGTGTCCATTCTTGCACATGCTGGACTTCATGCCGGAGTCGGAGCCCTCCCGGTTTGTGGGGAGCCCAGGCCAGGCCGTTCTCTGCAGCTGGTGCACCCTGGCAGGGTAGCTGCACAGAGGCCTCTGCCAGATGGCGCCTTCCTGGTCCTGCTGTCCTGCTGTGCCTCCGATTCCTCTGCCTCTGCACGGCTGCTCGGGAAGGCTCCGCTCCGAAGCATCCCCCGCCCGGTGACACGTCTCTACCTCATTTTTAGAGAAAAAGGAAAAAAAATCTCACATGGCTCCCAGGTCCCTTGCCCTTCCAGCAGCTCAGGGACTCTGCTCTGGTGGCGGTCACTCAGGCAGTGCTTCTCCTTGCAGGGGTCTCTTTCAGCTTTCTCCTTCTGGAATGCGTTTTTGGGGGGCAACAAATCCTGCAGGGTCACTGTGTGGATTTCCCTCTAACCACATTTTTGTGGTGGTTGGAACGTAGAGTGGAGGCTAAGTTAGGGATCTGCAGATAACTGGTAATACCATTCCCATCAGTGACCTCCTTGTCTGACTCTGATGACAGGCGCCCCACTGTGTCCCCACAGGTGCTGTTTGCTCAGAGGTGCAGGGCAGAGCGGCAGAGCGGCAGTCCAAATTGCTGCTCTGCTGAGTTCTTCCCCATCTGTTTGGAGGGGCTCGCCTACGCTTTGCCTTTTAACTCACTTCAAAGAGCATGCCCTCCCGGTACAGGCCCTGAATCCCCGCCCGGCCCCTTGCGGTCCTGTGGCTCTGCTCTCCCCCAGCTCCTCCCTTCAGTTTGTACATCCTGAACTGGAAGTCCCCAGGTGTAGCAAGAGCTCATCATTCAGACCTCCTGGCTCAGTTTCCCCTCCGTGGAAACCATCTGTCCTGTTGTTGTTGTTTTGCTTTTGTCTGTGTGTGCTGTTTTTTTTTTCTCAAACGTGTCTAAATCTTAACCTTCTGCCTGGGATTTGTGCACATCTGGTGTGTGCTCAGAGGCCGGTAAATATTCAACATGAGTTTCATGAGCATGCGCTAGTCTTCGTCTTCACCTGAATGGAAGCAGGCCATGGTTTTGAATATACAGCTCTTGATAATGTCAAAAGTCGATTTTAATCCCAGTCCGTATCGCATGACACACAGGAAGGCCTAATTCATCAGGCCCTGGGGCCTCGTGGGCAATGTTACCTTGGTGATTCACTCTGGGCCCGGACTCGGTCCTTGGTTTTTCGGCCGGAAGCTTGAGATTCTCTGTGTCTGTGTTGATTAGACTCAGGGATGCTGACTCACGCCTACTGCGCTTGGATGAGGCAGATGATAAAATTGGAATACGAATTTATTAATTTTCATCGTGGCATGTAACTGTTTAATGATTTGGATCCTCACGTCAGCCTGAACAGTACATTCTCTCCCCGTAGGCAAGATACATGGGAAGCCAAATTATAATCAGAAGGTTGCTTAGTGAGCGGGCGTCAGAGCAAGGAAAGTTAATTACAGTCTATGATTAGAATTTTTAATGACGCCCAGCTCCTCTGGTGTGATGTATGCAGTTCTCACCCAGAACACACCTGCCAGCCAGCCAGCTGGTCACTTGGGCTGGCTGCTTACGGCTCAGGTGGAACAGCAGCTCGGCAGGTGTGACAGCGTGACCTCTGTGTCTCGCCTGTGACCTGTCTCCATTTGTGCCTACCCGCTCTAAGAGTGAAAATGTTCTGCTTCTTTTAAGGAACTTTCTTAAATAAGGTATAAAAAGAAAAAGAATGATAATTGTGACCAATGAAATCAAGAATGTCTGCTTGTTCAAAGCGCCCATCCGGGATGGTGTTCCGTTTGGTGGCCAGGCTGCTGGCTAGACACCTGCTTCCCGCAGACAACCTGGGTTCAGCCTCAGCCCTCCCCCAGACTCCAAGCTATCATGCTGCAGGATATTTGGTTTGGTGGATAAGGTGCTGATTGGGATGCTAGCACCCCACACTGAAGGGCGCTGGTGGAAGTCTCCACCCTTCTCCCAACTTCCACTTCCTACCGTCACACACCCTGGGTGTCGGCAGGTGGCAGCTCATGCCCGCCCCCCCCCTGCACTCAGGAGGGAGGTTGGGGTTTAGTCCCTGTTCCTTGGCTTGAGCATGACCAGCCCCAGCCACTTCGGGGCATTTGAGGAGCGAACTGATAGATGGAAGCTCAGTCTATTTTTCTGTCTGCCTCTCGAATAAATAAAAAATCTGTAAAGAAAAAAAGAAGACACCATAAAATAAAAAACCAAAACAAAAAACAAGCTACAAGCAAGGAGAAGTTGTTCACAACATTGATAATAAACACAAAAGGCAAAAAATATGTCAAGGAATTCTTCAGCCCTATGGAAAAGCACAATAGCTCGGTAGAACATGGGCAAAGGATGTGAGGCAGCCTCTTGTGCCAGAGGAAGCAGGTGTATCTGATAATACGGAAGGGATGATTGCTGATAGACCGAGGACTGAGACGGCAGTACAATGCTGTCATGTACTCATTCCATTGAAAAGTTGGAGAGAATGTGGATGAAGGGTCATATATGTTAGTGGCGTACAAGTGAATGAGGAAAATCACCCTGACATTGTCTTGTCAAGGTCACTCCTGCCATTACACCCCAACCATAAACTAAGAAATTCCTGCAATCCGAGACCAGGTGACATATGTGAGCAATACTGTACTAGCAAAGACCCAAAGGCGGCTCAGAAGCCCCACAGCAGGAGAGCGGGTGAACGAAGCGTGCTGTGCACACTGAAGCAGTATGTAGCAGTCCAAACAAAAGGTAGATGGCTGCTTTTCTAGAACCTTCCAACAACTGCATGATTTATTGGAGACCTACAGATCTCGACACGACTGCATAAAAATGGAAGCGAGACCTAGAGGTTGGGTGCAGACTCCCAGCTTCCAATAGTTCAAGGCTCCTTCCCTTTCCTCAGCCAAGTAGGGACTGGCTCATCCAGAACTGTGTACTCCCCCCCCACCCCCATCGCCCCAAATGACTGCCTAAGGGCACAAGCAGCTGGTTCTTCACCTGAAGTTGGGGGTCAACGCTTGGTGCCAGTGTCCTGTAGCATCCTGGGGGCAGGCTGAGCCAGGCTCCGGCTTACCCAGGCACGTGCTGCCTGTGGAGCTTTTCACAGACATGCGCATTCCATCCCTTCCCGCCCCTTCCCAGAACAGACTTCGTTGGCAGATGACTTGTAGAACTCTTCCCCCTGCCCTGTCTTGGACCCTGCTTGGACTAAGCCGAGATCCCAAAGGGGGAGGAGGGAGGGGGGAGGGGAGGCAGGCAGGGAGGAGGGGGGGGGATGGGAGGCGGGCGGGGAGGACAGGAGGGGGGAGGGGAGGCGGGGGGAGGGGAGGCAGGCAGGGAGGAGGGGGGGAGGGGGATGGGAGGCGGGCGGGGAGGACAGGAGGCAGGCCCTGTGGTCAGACCTGCGGGACCTTCGCCTTGTCTCAGGTGCTATTTTGCCAAATGATTAGGATACCGTTTTTAAAAAGGCCTGCTGAAATAGCTAAATGCATAATAAAAAGAGGTTATGCGTGGATCAATGAGTATGCCATTAACTAAGGGTAATCTTATCTATGAGCTAAAAATACAATTTAAAAATATTTATAAAGAAAGGTTTTAATGCAAACCTTTTAGCCATTCAACATGCACTTGCTGAGGATCTGCACGACCAGGCACAGTTTTAGAGGGAACATCGCAGTATCAGTGGGAAGAAAAAGATCCCTTCCTTCACTGTTGTTGGGGAGAGGCAGACAATTAAGGAAACAACTTAATTAAAAAGATAATTTGAGGAACGAGAGCTGATATGAAGGCAGGTGGCCGGCTGTAAGAGCGTGGAGGACGGTGGTAGCCCCTCTAGACGGGGACCATCGGAGATGGTTTTTGGACGCATTACACATTGTTCTTAATTTTATTTTTGGTATTCTTGGTGCACATTGTGAAAAGGTGGGCTCAGTTTTATTATGCACATTGTGTGGATGGAAAAATCCCAGAAGTCTGCTTCTTGCCCAAGATGAGGAATAATTAATGTGTTCTGCTCTCCAAGCGAAGACCTCACAGGAAAAACCGGAGCCATCGCGATGGGGGGGAGGGCGTTGCATCTCTGCAGCACCGGAAGTCGGACAGCTTGTCATGCCTCACCCAATGACGAGTTATACAAAGAAGTGCATGGAATTGCCTACCAATAAGGACATCAAGGAGGCTGGAAGAGGGCAGCCCAGCGACGACGGGAACAGCGTGTACCAGTTCTCTTATCTGCAGTCCTAGGAGCAGTTTCTCTAAGCCATCCTTGCCCTTCACTGCCCTCTTGGCTATCAAAGAAAGCCTTTGGGGGCCAGCACTGTGACACAGTGGGTTAAACCACCGCCTGTGACACCGACGTGCAGTGTGAGCACCAGCTCCCCTGCCCGTCACCCCAGGCTGAGGTGCTGCGAGAGGAGCACTTAGGTACTGGGGCAGCCACTCACATGGGGAACTAGAATGGAGCTCCAGGGTCCTACCTCAGCCTGGCCTAGACCTGGCCATCGTGCCCACTGAAGGGAGCAGACCAGCGGGTGGAAGCTGTCTGCCCTCGACCCTCCGCTTATCTTTCTGTAACACTGCCTCTCCAGTGAGGAAATCTAAAAATAAGAAGACCTTCGTGAGATGACTAGCAGGGGAGGAGCAGAAGCTGTGAGGGTGGGAGGATAACCTGTCACTTTGTGATATGCAACTTGGACACTGATGACAGGGGCACAGCCACGTCTGTGCTCAGGGTCATGGTGGAGGGGAGCAGCAGAGTCCGAATCTTCCCCTAGCAGTGTGACCATGCACTGCGGTGTGGTGTGACCTCGGGCAGCTGCGGCTTCCCAGCGTCAGACCAACGACAGAGTCTGCAGTGATCTGACAAGGGCGCTAAGTAAGGTGACAGCTGCACGGTGCCTCACCTCGCTGGAGAAGCACTCGGTGGGAGAACTGTTCTTTATGAATTGGCTCACTGAAAAGGGCCCCAAGTGGGGGGACTTAACGTGCTTGAAATGTTTCGCGAGACTTAATGCCAAAGCTACCAACCCTTCACAGAGCCACCACTGCCTGGACGTGGTCGGCGTCAGTACCGTTGGGTTTTGAAGTAGTGG